TGGCCCGGGGGGGTATTTATAGGATCCAATGAGGAATCCACGTGGCATGCCAAGCAAGATAATCGGAGCCTGACGTGTCCATCCAGACAATTATTTCGAGACCGGGAATTTGAGAGGTATTCAGATACACGGATGTCCACCATACTTGCTGTGCCGCTCATCATAAGAAATCAGGTGCGGGCATGCTTATTGTCATTGTCATGCAGCTATTTGAGCGGGAAGCTTTGGATTTATTCCTCACTTCGGTCATAAAGGAATTACTGTAGCAGTCCGAGGCTTGGCACCTCGGACCTGTCCTTACACTATTCCCCCCCCGAAGTCATTCACTTGTGAATGATGTTGATAGTCATATGCGATAAGAAGAGAGTGCGACCAGAGTGATCGTGGCCGTAGCCATGGTAAAAATAATGACCAGAGTCAATGTGGCCGAAGCCAGAATAAGAGATGATGACCGAAGTCATGGTGGCCGGAACCATGATAAAAAATGATGACTGGAGTCATAATGCAACCAAAGCCGTGATAATAAACGATGACCTGAGTCATAGAGGCCGGAGCCGTGATGGAAAATAATGACCGGAGTCATACTGGTCGGGGCCATAATAATAAAAAGATGATGACCGGAGTCATAATGGCCGGAGCCGTAATGAACTATAATGACCGGAGTCATAATGATCGTAGTCGAGCTAGAATATGTGACATGTAGTCACAGTAAGCAGGACCGAAGTAAAACATGTGTTCTCTGTGGCCTGAGCCGAAGTAAAACAGTTAAAAAGTATAATTGTATAAGTAAACAGAAGTGCTGAGCTAGGCTCAAGTATAAAGATGGGAGTTAAAATGGCCGAGGCCATAATGAAATATAATGACCGGAGTTATAATGGCCGTAGCCGAAGTAAAATGTGATAGTGGATTACTGTGGCTGAAGCCGAAGTGAAATGTAATGCATGATTATTGTGGTTGAAGCCGAGGTGAAACACTTGCACAATTGAGAATATGCAAAAGTGAACAGAGGTGTTGAAATGGGCGTAAGTGGGCCCGTGTAAAAATACTGACATAGGTGTGACAGTTGTCCTTGAAATGACGTGCGCAATAAATGCGGCCGTAAAAGGATAACTGTAACAGTTAAACGGGCAAAAATTAAAAAACGAACCGTCAAATTCAAAACGGTACCGTTTAGGGTTGACTGTCGAATTCTAAACGGTGTGAATAGGAACCGTAAGATTAAACGAATCTCAGCCGTTGAGATCTAATTTTGCCCAGAAGTATAAATAGGAATTTTTTCTGCAGAAAGAGGTTTACTTGCATTTCTTTTCCTGCAAAACTTCTGCGAGAAGCTTTACTGTGTGTTTCTTGTGCGTGAATTGCGGTAACAACTGGGGATCTCTACATCAAGCCTTTCGAAACTGAAACCAAAATCAGGTAATGTATACGAATCTCTGATTTTAAGTTAATCGAAGTGTCTCTCTCCTTTCTCCCTTTCTGTGGTTGATTTAGAATCCTCTGGAGGAAGTTAGGGTTAGAGGCGAGAGGGATTTTGAATGTGCAACAAAGAAGGGGGGTTTTTTTTTTTTTTTTTAAATCCTGACTTATTCCTCCCCCCTACTTCGTGCAGAGTTTGAGAAAATGTCATCAGAAAGAACACAGAGTATAGTAGGGAGTGAGGTGGAGCCCCTGGACTATGGGAGCATGGACACAGAGAGTAGTCCATCTCCATCTAGTTCGGAGAAAACAGTGGAAGGGGTAAGAGGAGATAAGGTGGTGGAGGTTGGGGGGAACGAGGTGGTAGGGGTTGAGGGAGATGGCCTTCCCATTACCATAGTAGAAGTAGAAGGTAGGGGGGAGAGGGGTTATGATGGGAATGCAGAGATAGTGGAGGAGGTGAAGTAGTACCGATCTGAACTAAGGACCAGGGATGACCTGTGTCACTTAGTAGAAACGTACGAGATCTCTTCTCGAGTGTTAGTTAGACCAGATGGGGTAGAGGAGAGGGCGTGCTCTGCTCCTCGGGATCATTGGATGCCTGTGTATTCCCACTATTTGATAGCGGGACTCAGGTTTCCACTTCCTGAGTTGCTAATAGGTTTACTGTTAGATTACAACATAGGGTTGACACAGTTGGTCCCCAACGCAATGAGGGTAATAATAGGTTTTTTAGTTTATTGCTGAGCTCAGGGGATTAGTGTGCCAACTGTAAATATGTTTAAGTATTTTTTTGTTTTGAAGGGAGGAAGTAGGAGGGATAAGGGGTGGTATTATTTCACCCCTAGGGTAGCTAAGAAGGAGAATAGGATTTTATTCACTGCGGGTCCTTCATCCATTAAGGGATGGAAGGAAAAATTCTTTTTTGTGGATAACACAGAGTGGGGGAAAGGGGATGCCGAGGTGAGGGCGTTAGCCTCCTGGAAGGCCAAAAGGGCCAACCAGAATAAGTTTAGCTTGAATGAGGATGAGGAGGAAGAAGTGGGGAAGTTGGTGAGGAAGGGGGGAGATGTGTTGAATATCATAGACCTCAACAGCGCAGCATGCATAGAGGCTGCTGAGCTCTATGGGCCAAGCGCTCTGAGTGAAGGTTTGTTTGACATATATTGTAGCGTTAAATGTATAACATAGAATTGTGACTAATATTTGTGTTTGTTGCTTTGCAGCTGAAATGGATCAATTTTTGAACACTGCTGGAGGAAAGGCTATCCCCAAGAAGCCAAGGAAGAAGTCAAATACTTCAACCAAACGAGTGGATGAGGGGAGGGCCAAGAAGGAGGCAGTGCCTGCGGCGTCAGCTGAGACGGAGGAGGAGGTGCCAGCGCTGAAGAGGAAGGGCTGGGAGGAGAGGAGGGCTTTGCAGAAGAAGCAGAAGGTGGTGGAGGAGGAGAGGGGGAATGAGGTTCCTGTGTTCGTACCTCAGCCTCCTCCTGTTGAGCTGAACCCTGAGCTCAGATAGTTGGAGGAGGGGGCTGAGGTACGAGCTCCTGGTAAGGGAAAGGGCCATATTCCCCCATTGGGGCCTCAGAGCAGCCTGTTCGAGGCGAATAACATGACGGGGGCTAGGTGGTTCATCAACAACACCTTCCCCGAAGTGGACCAAAGCAACGTGCGGGAGGAGGCTCTGAGGTATGGTGGAGCGTCCGTGGTGAGACACGTTCTAGAGGTATGTTAAATGATTAATGTTGTGTAGTTAATCTGTGTCATCTTCTCTTCTTTCTCTCTTAACCTCAGTTTTGATTTGCAGAGCGCGAGCTGGGTGAATGGTCTAGCCTAGGAATTCAGGGATAGCCTGAAGGAGCGCTCACTCTTACAGAGGCAGTATGACCAGCTGCAGAAGGAGAAGAAGGAGCTGGAGAAGAAAAATAAAGAGCTACAAGAGTCTCTGAACGAGGTGGTTCCAACTGTGAAGCAGTTGGAACAGGAGAAGTCTTCCCTGGGCACCAAGCTTGGCTTTGAAGAGACCAAACGAAAGATCTCTGAAAGCGAGCGTGAGGCTCTGGCACAAGAATTAAAGCTGACGAAGGAGGCTTTCTTGGAGCTGAAGGGGAATGTGCAGACCTTGGTGCACAATGGGATGAAGGAGCACATTGGCAACTTCATCAGCTCCAGCTCGTTTGACAACATCGTCAACTTATACCGGCTGCCTACGGCCATCATCGCATTCACGGACTGCAGGAAGAAGGTGAAGGTAGAATATCCCGAAGTGGATATTACGAAGATCACCTTCGGAGAGCAAGAAGAAGGAGTGGAGGAAGATGGTGAGAGCATGTCAGCAGACTTCCATCCTCAAATCAAACTGAGGTGGGAGGATGATGTAAACGGACGTGCTGTTTTCCCTCCACAGTTCAACTTCGAGTTCGTGGCAGTAGAGGATGAAGGGGTAGAGGTAGAGGAAGACGAGATGGAGGCAGGAGTGGAGGGAGCTGAAGTGGGTGAGAGCCAACTCGCTCCAGAAGTGGAGATTCATCCGGTTCCCTCCGACGATGAGCAGCCTCCTCTGCCAGACGAGCAGCAGCCAAGACAACCACCTCTTCCAGCTGAAGAGGAGCCAGTGGAGCCACCTCCTCCAGCAGAGAACTAATTTTGATTTTTGATTTTTTGTAAAGACAGTTAAATAGTTTGTAATTTTTATGTTTTTGTGAATGAAAGTTTATTTTTGAAATAACTTGTTTATTTGTGTTTGTCTTTTTGTTGATAGAAGAACTGAGGCGACTTTAAAAAGGAAAGTTAATAAAAAGAAGTTAATCACTTTAGAAACGAACTCCAGAGAGGTGACATCCATTAACAGAAGTGAATGAATAACAAGTAGATCATTGTAAATGAATTGAGAAGAGATAAAGCACTTCAAATGTGAAGTGACTTTTATTAACAGAAGTGAGTTTCAAGGAATGAACTGATTGACCTCGGATACATAGAATAAGAGGTAAAATGAATCTCGACAAGCATGAAATAAGAACTGTAAGACATAGATCTCTTGAAAGAATTCTATTAGGGGTAAAATTTCTTCAAGTTATTTACATTCTAGACTCTAGGAACTCTCTTTCCTTCAGCGTCTTGGAGGACATAGGCACCAGGATGTGGCACTTCGGCCACGGCATAAGGGCTTTCCCAATTTGGGGC